CCGCAGGTTTGTGGATGTTTGTTAGCGGCTCGTGTGTCTGCACCGAGGGTGCTGAGCCATGCACGTGGGAGTTCAGGTCGCTTGCACCAAGTGAGAGAATGACTAAGTGCTGGTGAGACCAAGTAAGATAATGACTGGCGTGGGACTGGCTGGGAAAAGCCTTGCTCAAGTATTTTGCGCTGTAATGAGATGGCAGCAGCAGGTGGCTGGGGGATTGCAAAGAGCAGAGCTGGAGGCTTTGCACCAGGGCTCTTACAGCAAGCAGAGCCCCGGCTTTCAGAGCAAAATCGTGACGACTCCTCCTCGTGCAGGAATTTCGGGGCTAGATGGGGGTTTTCACATACCACAGGCTTGCAGCCTGCCTGAACCCTGGCCAACCTGAGCAACAACATTTTCCTCAATCGCTGCTGCTAAATGAGGAGCTCTCCTCTCAGGTGCCCTCCTCCGTGCTCTGCTTTGGGGTCCCCAACCTTCCCCGTCCCCCCTGTGCTTGGGGAGGTTGCTGAAGTGGCTCTCGACCCCTGCAATGACTGGTGCTGCTTGACAAACCCTTGACAGGGCTCCAGTGCTGCTGCATTTCCCCTTTCTCTATTATCTCACCGGTGTAGCCATGTAGGACGTGTGATTGTGACAGTATTTCTGAGCAGACGTTTTAATGAGGTGAGAAGCTCTCATCTTCAGCTAGCCCTTCATGCCCCATATAAGGCCTTTATTTTCAATTTGAGGCTCGTTCTATGTTTTTTAATCAAGCTTCCCAGACACACTGTCCCCGCGCTAGGTCTTGGTGTGTTCCCTCTTGCTGCAACGAGCTTGTTTACAAGCAGTTTTCAACCGTTGAGTTAATTAATGCTTGCTGCTGCCATGGGATCCCAGTGCTTTCTGCCTGAGAACACTGCAGCGGGGGAGCCGGGACCCCTACAACACCCCCAGGAAAAGCTAAGGATCCCTTTGCGAGCACCTTGTGCTTTATACCAGCTTGTGCTTACGTGCATTTAAAAAAAAAAAATCAGCTTGTTTTCCCTGAGCAGGTTTTTGGAGAATGGCTGCGCAGGTGCCAGTTCCCAGTGGCTGTTCCCCGGGGGTCAGCCTTGCACTGGAAGGAGCTAAAAGAGGACGAGTGGATGGGAATATCGAGCTGCAGCAGCAAAGCTGAGGGTGAAGGACCTCCGGGTCGCTCTCATCTGCCTCGGGGACGTAGCCGTCTATGATTTCCCAGCATTAATCCAGCGTGAAATCACCCAGCAGGGTCCCGGGTTTAATGGCCCTATAAAAGGCGTTAGGAATTTACGGGCACCTCTGGGTGCTCCGACGTGCACGTAACCCGCGGCACAAACAGGCACGAGCCAACCTTTGGCCGCTTGCTTCAAAGTCCACTGTTTATTAATGATGCCAACGGCAACGGTGGCCTTTTATTGAGCTCTGCTGTTTGCTCTGGGGCTCTCACAACGCGGCCAAACCCCGCTGATTTGTTCTGCTGGGACTTGGCTGAAGCATCCGCGGCTCCTCCGGTTCCTTCAGTAGTCCCCGGGCTCCCCCAGCGCCCTGAACCCGCGTGTTCATAGCAGAGCTGCTTGGAAAGGCTCCGGGTGTTTCAAAACCGACCAGCTCCCCACCCATCCTGTCTGCATCACTGCATCTCCCACTCCTATAATCCTCCCCAATTGTTCTTTGCGCTGCTCTACGTGAAGCTGTTTTGCTGGCTGTTTTTTTTTTTTTTTTTTTGCATTTTAAAATAAACCCATCTCTCCTTTTGCGCCACGAGGTGTTTAGCTTAAAACACTCCATCCCCTTGTGTTGGCTTCCTGCACCTACGTGGCTGTCGCTGGAGGGGAGGCAGCCTGAGAGCCCTGTCTGTGATTTTTAAGTATGTGGGGAGGAAAGGATGCGAAGATCCAGGCAACGCAGAACCCAGGAGTGATCCCAGACCCTGGGGAAGGGGGCTGAGCACCCAGCAGGAGGCGTGCACCCGCCCAAGGTGATGCCCGGGCTGCCTAGGGAAGGGGTGGAAAGCAAGCAGAAGAAACCAAGCACTGATCTTGCTCCTTGGCTTGCTTCAAAGGGCTTCTCTTCATATATTTCCCTAGCAAGAACGTGCCAGGGGCTCTCTAAAGACATTTTTGGGGGCAAGGGGCAGTTGACTGACCAGCTCCCAGGAGCGGAGGATGGAGCAGGTGGAATTTGGGGGAGAAAATGTGAGTAGTGCCCTAGAGCCACCACTCCAAACCTTGACTTGGCTGCTGGTGGTGGGCTTCACAGGGGGCTGTGAAAGAGCACGGGGAAGGAATAGGGAATTATCTGATCCCAAGCAGTTTGGCCATGCCCTGTTTCTCAGGGAATGGTGCTTCTGCCACCGTCTTGGTGCCAAAAAGACCCCCAGTGTGGTCCCCAGCCAGCTCCTGGGGCTGGTGAGAAGGACACGGTGATCAGAAGGTGGCTGCAGGGTTTGGTTATGAGTAGGGAGAGCTGCGTGCATCAAAATCTCATCTTCCCACCAAAAATTCAGAGGCTCCCTTTGGTGATCAGTCCCCTTGGGCGCAGCAGAAGCAGGAGGGCTCCGTGTCCCTGCAGGGTGGGCGTCCTGCGAGCGATGGGTGCCCCCCCCCGTGCCTTGCAGTGCTCGATGCTCCTCGTTCACAGGCAGCGAGTGGTTGTGTTGGAGGACACCCATGGAAATGTTGTCCCCTTTCCCCACAAATGCTTACAGACCTCGGAGCTCCTTGCTGGGCTGAGCCCAGCTCCCTCGCCGCTGGCTGTGTTTGCTCCCGCCCGCAGGCTGCGTTTGCGCAGGGAGGGCTCTCGTTATTTTTAACCTTCGGCAGCCTGCCTGGGACGTGGATCTAAATGAGCCCTGAAATGGCCGGTTTTGGGGCTTTACAAAAATACACTGGAGCAGGACACTGTGTGCTCCACGCCGCTGATGCAAGGCCGGGTGCTTCAGAGCCGCCGACCCCTAGGGCTGCTCAGAAACCCTCTGTTGTGCCCAGCCGCCCTGGGTTTGGATAAGCTGCAATTTTCATACCAAAACCATCGTGTTGGTTTGCACACAGGACATCTTTCCCTGCCCCAGGGCCTCGTCTTTCTCTTGTTTGTGCCCTCCGCAGCCTTGCCCTGGGCTGTAGGGGAGAAGGTGCTGCTCCAGATACTCAAAATACCCGAGTTGTTCACCGAAACTGGGAGACTCCAGCGTGTCCTCTTCCAAATCCTGCTTTGCCCCTGCGTTGGGAAGCGTTTGTCCTTGTTCCTGGGAAAGCAAAGGCACCGCTGGCCTTGGTGGAAGGGGAAAACCCAGAGAAACATGATTAAAACTGAGAGCTGGCTGCTGGGGGAAACACGAATCTCAAGCCGAGCACCGCTGCGTGAGGCAGGTTGTGGAGGCTCTGCCATCAGCCCCGCCTGTGTTCGTTTTCCTAAATGCATTTATTCATCCGTTAGGTGAAGGGAGAGCAAAACCTTCTTGTTTACATCTCCCTTTTTAAAGCAGCCTCTAATTGCACGCTGGAACAGCCCAGGCACATATATTTATACCCTATACGTGCAGCCTTGGCGCTGGTCCTGGGCTGGAGCTCCGTCTGCCCTTTCCTCTCCGCCTTCTCCTGGGGTCATTTGCAGGGGGAGCTCGGGGTCCTGCACCCCCATTTGATACCAAAAGGGGATTTTATCACTGCTCCTCCTCACAGAGGACGTTTCCTCCAGGCTCTGAAATGCAGCATCAGTATCAAGGTGGCCGGGTTTGGCTTCTTGGTGTCGTACCCAAGCTGCATCTCAGCTCTGCGCTCTCCCAAGGGTTTTTTTTGCTGCATTTTCCCCTCGGAGCATCCTCGCTTCAACTTTCCAGCCTGGAGGTGCCCTGGGTTTGTTTTCCCTCCACCTTCACTTAACGTGAGCAGCGTGCGTGGAGATGCTCGCAGCCCAAGATCAGCTTTGCTCACCGATGGGAGGTCGTTGAGTAACTTTCTCCAAAGCCCAGATGTGGCATCTCCGAACCCGCCCTGAATGGAGGAGCTCAGCTCTGCCTGCAATGTGTCATTAGTGGATGTCGCGCTGGATGGCTGTGCAGGAAGGCGAGTTTTTTTCGCTGGGAGCTGTGGCTTTGACCCTTTGTACTTGGAAGATTTACAGGCCCGATTGTAGCAGCGGATTAACGTGGCACGGTGTGGTTTTGGTGGAGAAGAGGTTATTATGTTAAGTGTTGTTTCTCTTGTATCCTGCAGTGAGATTTTTTTCTCCTGCACACGCAAACATGCACTCCAGCCAGTTATTCTAGCAAAGCCGGGCTTTAAAGGCTGGTAAATGTTTAATGACACCGCTTTGGTACATGCTGGCCTGCCCTCTGCTTCCCTTTTGTTGCTGGTGGCTCGGGTGGGGGGTTCCCTGCCATCCTTCCACCTCCTTTCCAGCTTCAAAGTAAGTTTGAGACCAGAAAGCTGGCAAGTGGTGGTCGAACCCCTGGGCTGTGTCCTTTTAAGAAGGAATCCTTCCCATGCTGTGCAGCAACAACTGGACCTCAGGGATCAAACCACAGATGTATGCAGCCAGGTGCAGCTTTCTGAGCTTGGTCCTTGCTGGAGATCAGCTGAGGGGCACGGCATCAGGTCAGCACCATTTCTGCCCTGCCCTTGGGGTTTTTCTCCAGCTATTTGGGGAGCTGGCTTTGTGATGCATCTCCCCCAATGTCCGGAGCTGCCTTTTTGTGCACCGATAACAGAGTTGGGTGACCCAGGGTGTTTTCTCTGCTCCTCTCCAGGCGAAGCATGAAGAGGAAGGCGATGTTCACGTGTCCGTTCAACGGCGACTGCAAAATCACCAAGGACAACCGGCGGCACTGCCAGGCCTGCCGGCTGAAGCGCTGCGTGGACATCGGCATGATGAAGGAGTGTGAGTACGCAGCGGGGCATCCCGTGGGGAAGGGCCCTGCCTTGCTCTCCGACGTCCTTTTCCTTCTCAATCCACGCACGGCACAGAAGGGAAAACGCGCGAGCGTAAAGCTGTAAAAGCTCCGTAAGGCGAGGATGCAAAGGGCAGGGGACGTGGTGGGTAATGATTGAGAGGAGCTCATTTAATGATTGAGGCCGTTCCCGTGGCCGTTAGCTGCCCGTGCCAGAGCCGGGCTGTCTCTGCGGGCTGCTTGAGGGCAGCCCCATGGGGAGCGCATCCGGAGCTGTCGCTGATTAACTCGCAGCCTTGCCCTTGCAAAGCCATCGGCCTGGCACAGCACAAGCTCCTCACCCTGTCCCGGAGGCAGGGAGAACCGAACGGGCTTCCCCATATCACTGCTTTGCCATTTGGTGCTGATTCAACATGGAATCAGCTGACTTTTTGCTCTGCAAAACCTTTTGGGCCCTTTTTTTGGGGGCCTTTGTTCTTGCAACGTGAGCCCGGCCACCTGGCCACGTGCACGGCGGAGACTTGAGCAAATAGCAGAGGGAGGCAAAGTAGTTTTTAACCCAATCCAAACAGACTAATGTTGTCCAAATATTTATTTTCTTCAACGATATTTTTAGATAAGCAGCTTTTAAAAATAAAAGCTGTTTGACACGCTTCCTCCTACGCGCTTTCCGCGTCTTAAGTCTTTAGGAGAAGGCAGGCGTTCGCGTAGCGTTCAGACCAAAATAACAGCCCTCTGCTAGGAGACTCTGCAAACAGGACATTGTGTCCCGTGATTGATGGACCTGAAGATTTGGAACCAGCTTGGAAAATTGGAGTGCTGCTGGTGTCCTTACGCGACAAGCGGAGAGCAAACAGCGCCTGACGTCACGGCGCGCCGCCGAAACGCAGGTCTGGCTCCTCCAGCAAAGCAAAACTTGCAGGTGTTTGCAGGAAAAAATGCCCAAATTTCCAGGTGTCACAAAGATCAAGCAAATCCCCAGGAGCAGAAGGTCCCTGGGGCTCCTTTTAAACCGGTAGCAATGCCCTGGGGAGAGGTGGAGATGCAAAGAGCAGGTAGCGCGCCATGGGAACCCTTCTCGTGGGTGAGTACAGGGGTGGGTGAGCCCATGGTAGCTCAGACCACGTCCTGTGTTTTGTCCCACTGAAACAATGCTCAGATTAACGTTTGGACAGGAGCAAAGAGCCGGCCCCTGTCTCCGTAGCTGACCAAGCAACCTAAAAAATGCTCTGCGCAAAGCGCGGTCTTGGCGTTTTGCTGCTTTGGCAGCATTTTGGCACCTATTGCTGCAGCTTTTCTTGGTTGGGGCAGCACCATCAGGCACCTTCTGCACCAAAAACCATCTCGGAGGCCTCCTGGGATGTTCCCGGGGTGGGCAGAGAGCCGGCTCCTCTGATGGTGCTCCTTGTTCCGATGTTATCTCGTAATCACGACGCGCGGAGAGAATGCGCCGCGTTGTTGGAAAGGAGAGCGCTGCCATGCCCCGGTGCACAAAGCTGCCTGCTGGAAGCTCACGGCTCCGGTTGCTGCGGCTCATTTGGTGCAGCCGTTGTTAACGAGGGAAACGTGTTGACTTGTACCAGCTAATTACCTGGGAAGGGCTGGAAAATTCAGCGGCGGCAGCGCGCCCCGGCCGGGGCCCAGGACCCGCCTGCTCTGGGCAGGAGTTAACTTGTAAGCGACCCCCTTAGCAAATTGTTACTGAATTAATGAAACCTGACCAAGGAGCCTAAAAATAACCTTCCTGCGGACTTTGCTGCTGGTGAAATGAGTGGGGACAAGGTGTGCTGCTGTTATTTATAGGTCGCATCAGGGATCTTTAAACTCTGGTGTCTTCCCCCGGCTGTCATTGGTGGCGATGAGGACAGCCACGGGCAAGGACGGGCTGGATTTGCTCCGCTGCCGATGGGTCCGAAGCAGAAATAAGAGTGAGATGGGGGTAAAGAGGAGGAGGAGGAAGAGGGCAGATGTTGACAAGCCTTGTGCTTGCGTTAATTTGAGGTCTGGCGCAGGCAGCCCCATCTCCTTCCCGGGTCCTGGGGTGCTCGGACCTAAAAGCCAGGCTGGTTTTTGACATCATCCTCAGCCACGTTTGCAGGGAAATCGCCAGTGGGCTCGATGCTGCGGTGATGGGCTGGAGAAGGACAACAAGGCGAAGGGAATCTGGCAAAAAAACTCCCCGGGGAGGGGACGAGGTGGAGGCTGGAGGGCGGCAGGAACACGCTGAGCCCGGCGAGCGCATGGGAGCAGCGAGGGTCAGGGCCGGGCTGGGGGCAGCAGCAGCCGTCGGGCTGATCCCCGGCCCCGCCGCACCGCCTGCGGTTCAACCCCGAGCTCTCTGCAGCCAGCGTTAGCAAATATTTGTGGTTTTCCACCCATCTTATCTGCGTGGGGTAAAGCACAGGGCAAGCTGACAGCGGCTGGGGCTCAGCGGAGGCAAAGCCCCCCCCTCGCAGCCCAGGCGAGAAGCCGCGGTGGTGGGAGACGTGCGCAGGAGCTGCTGCTCTTTGGATGGGGTAAATGAGGACAGGTTCCCACCCCGGGGTTACCGCTGCCTGCCCTGCCTGCTAGCCACTGATTTCTCCTAGGATAAAGCAGCACCAAGGGTCCTATTGCCTGGGTGGCGAGAAAACGCTGAAGTTATCCCTTTTGCCCTCAAAAATTGCCTTCTGCCAGCTGCCTGGCACTCGGGAAGGGACATCCATCCCTCCAGGGACCTGGGTGTCGCAGCCGCCCCTAACCCGTGGGTGATTCACCTCTCCTGGTGTCTCTGCCCTGTTTTCCCCTGGCTTTTATCAGCTCTCCGATATTTACAGCGTGTGCAGGCGGGGACAGGGGACAGGCTTCCCCTCGGCTGCCCCATGCCTGCACGGTCTAAAGGTGTTGCTGCAAAGCAGGGCGATAAATAATGTGAATAACGTGGTGCTGCAGCAGCCTCGTGGCGCTGCGTTTGTCCTCTCCCCGCTGTGTTACTGCCGGGGAATTTTTTTGTGCTTGTCTCAGTGCCCATCAGCTGGGATCAGGGAGTCTCCTTGGAAGGCTCCCAGCTGCACTCTGCATCCTGGGGCCGTTTGTCTGTCTGCAGGACCTCAGATCGGTGATCCCCGTCTCCGATGTCACAGCGAGGTCTGGTTTGCCTGGGGTCTGCGCCCCACGGGGCTGCTCCTCCACTTTCCCCTTTCCCAAGGAGAAGGCTTGCGGTTGCAGTCACGAGCAGGTGATGCTCAGCTTTCTCACCACGAGGCCCAATTCGTGATCTCAGCGCTGAAAATCCCCTAAAGGGAGGAGAATTAAAAGTCATCCTCTGGGAGCCGGGGAGAGAGGAGGAGAAGCTGGAAGGAGAAAGGGGAATTTCCCGGCTCCGTGAGACCATGGACGAGGGCCGTGGGTGCGCCAGGAGGGAGCTGGTGCCTGCAGCCCTCCCCCGCTTCCCCGAACAGACGGCGGGACTCGAAACCGAGCAGCGTCCCCAGGGCCCCAAAGGTGGAATTTTTCTTATTCCCTTTCTCCCCACCCCGACAGCCCTTGTGCAACGCCGGGCCCCGTGCTGACGCCAGAGGCTGGCCGAGAGGCAAAGAGGGAGCACGAGAGGGAAGGAGGAGCAGCAGCCGGCCGGGAAAACGGCACCCGGCGGCCTCTGGGCTTCGGGGGCTGCCTGGGGGGGCGTCTGCTCCCCGGGGGCTCGAGGTGCCCGCTGGAAGCAGCCGGAGTCACTGTAATTAGGGCAGGCTGAGCAGCTGGGGAGCCCTCTCCGAAATCTGTGCGAGCATCGCTTCGGTGAGCCGTGGGGGGCAGCCGGGGGCCCTGCAGCCGCTGGGGCTGCTCCGCTTGGCTCCAAGACCCACGATTTAAAGCCCTGCTGCTTGCTTATTGCTTTGTTTCCTGCTCCCAGCCTTCCTCCCCTCCAGTTCCACGTGCCAGAGACGTGTGCTGCCCGGCCAACCCCCCCCCCGCTGCAGTTTGTGCTCCCATCACCCAGTTTTGGCCATGTCACCCCTCGTCCTGTCCCGTCCCCGCTGGCTGATAACACCCACAGGGTGTTATCTCAAAGCACCCCGTGTCCCGCTGATGAAGGTGCTCAGGGCTCAGCGGTGGGAGCTGGGATTTGGGGGATATCCAGGGCACCGGTTTGGGGGAGGCAGCGGGGATGAATTCGGCTTTGCTCCTGCAGCTGCGACGGTGAACTCAGAGCGATCCTGGGCACCCGTGGCAGCTGAGCAGGGTCTCAGCACCTGATGTTTGCCAAATTTCAGTTTTGGCTGCTGTTCAGCTGCCCCTTTCCTCACCCGAGGGGCCGAGTCCCTTCTTTTGGCATCCCCCCTGCGCTCGGTAAGCCCAGCACAACCCCTGGGGTCGGCTGTGGCTTCCCCTGCTGTCCTTGTGGTGTCTGCAGAGAGCTCCCGCGTCTGTCCAGCGGCGATGGGCAGATTTTATCTCAGCCTCCGCCTGGGCTTGGGGTCAGGGCAGCCCACAAGCGCTCTGCCCGTGCCAGGAGCCTGGGGCTGGATGCTTTCAGCTCAGCTTTGGGGAAAGGAGCGGAGCTGGGGCGATTTTGAGGGGAAGGAGCAGGCAGGCAGGGGCACGCGGGGCCACATCCATCCTCCTGAGCACACAGATGAGATGCTAATCCTTTTTTCCCAGGAACCGTGCTGCCATCCTCACCCGTGCGCTAACCAGAGCAAGCTGTGCTCAGGGTTTGCTGCTCCCCGACGGCATCTGGAACGATTTCCCCAGCCGTGCCGGGCCGTTTCCCAATCCCCTGGTGCTGGGCTCTGTCGCAGCTTGCTCCAGCACCTCCCTCGCTCGCCAGGCAGGCTGGAAGGGACTCGCAGCCCCTCTTTATCTGATTTTTCAACTCGCCTGCAGGGCTTCCTTTGGGTTTTAGTCTCCTGTGGGCTCCGGCAGGTCCTATCAGAGCATTAAACACCCAAACGGGGACCTGCTGCCAGCTTTGGCCACGACCCCTCTCCGTCGGCATCGCTGGTGGATTTGCAGTGGGTTCAGAGCCCCCAGCGTGGTCGGCCAAGCCAAAACCCTGGGACAGGCAGGAATCGGTGCAGACCCTGTACAGGGAAATCCGTCTGCCTTAGGGGACAGGACCAGGGGGCACGAACCTCGCCGGTGTTTGTTCCCCTGTGGAGGCGATGCTCTGGGAGATGCTCTTGCTTTTCAGAAGCTCCCACCAGAGCGAGAATTGCTGCTGCCTCAGCGTTTCTCCTGGAAGGCACTGGGAACAAATCCATTCTGCCAGCCCTTTAAAAGCAAAGGGTTCCTACACCAAGCCTTTAAATAGGGCTGATTGCAGCAGGGTCACACCGAAGCCCCAGTTAACCTGTAATTGCTCCCGAAGGAGGCGGTGTGAGCTCCTGCTCCGACGGGCCAGGCAGCTGGGTTTCATTTCCCCATCCTCATCCTCCCCTCCCAATTCCTCCTCCTCCGTTTTGGGTGCTGGGGTGAGCGTGGGAGACCCGGGCAGGACCCAATCTCAGCCCCACAAGGAGCTGTTCCCTGCCCTCCCCTTCCTCTGCCAAGGATTTCCCCTCGTTGCACTCAGCACCCGGATGGATCCGATTTTTTCCCCAATTCCAGCAGGGACGGGAGGTGGCGAGCTCCCAGTTTGGCTCCCTGCAGCCCTGACCGCACCGCGCCGGTCACGGGAGCGACCTCTTGGCCCGAGCCTCCCAGATCTTTAAATCCCCTCGGAGGTTGGGCGAGTTCGAAAATGTATTGGAAAAACGCTGTCGGCTAAACGCGGCCAAAGGAAGGGGCCGGGAACTGCAAACGGCTCCTTGCAGCCTCCAGCCCCGGCCCCTCCTTGCGAATTCCACCCCAGCTCGCCCCACGCCACGTCTCTGCAGAGGGCAGAAAGCCTCCCGACATCAGATAAGGTGCTTGTTTTTTTTGCTAATGACCGGTTGTAGGGTTAATAGCGTCTCCACCAAGGGGCACTGCTATTTTTAGGACCCGCGGGTTGGGAGCATGAAGTCCCCGGTGGGACTCGGGGTGAGGACGAGTGGTTGTGGCCCCCAGGGGATGATTGTGGCTCTCTGGTGTCTCCCTGACCCTCTGGGGGGCATTCAGGTCTTTAAGCTCCTTGGAAAGGTCACTTTGGAGCCCAAATTTCCCGTGGGGGTGCTCCCATCCCTAAATAAACCGGAGAAGCTTGGTGTAGCACCTTCGGTTCCCTGTGCTGCTGATGAACTCTGCCCCCCCATAATATAAGCAATATTCGGGTGTATTTATACATCCCTTTAGCCTAAAAATACTCGAGGTATTGCAGAAGTGCTGCCGGACACCCAGACTGCCTGCTGCAACGTGGTGGCCCGGGGGACGCCGCGCGGTGCCGCCGCATCGGGCTCCCTCTGTTGTCAGCAGCCCAAAGCGGCGCCGGAGCCGGCTGAACCCTCTGGCCCGCCTCTTGCAGGAGCAAAATTTCTTCCAGCCGAGAGCCCAGAGCAAACAGGAGGGTTGCACTCGAGCAAACACGACCTCGCTGCCCCCCGGTCCTCGCCTAAAAGCACCCGAGCGGGCTGGAAACGGAGCCGGTCTCGTAGCAGGGAGCCGTGACCCGGCAGGCGAGGGCACGGAGCAGCACGGGGTGGCGTGGGTTCAGCGGGGTGATCGGCGACGTGGCAGGGATGCTGCTACCCGCAGGGGTCCTGGGCTGCTTCCTTCTCGTTTTCCCAGCCCCTGTTTGTAACGCTCCCCTTTCCTCCCGGCCCTGCAGTCATCCTGACGGACGAGGAGGTCCAGAGGAAGCGCGAGATGATCCTGAAGCGCAAGGAGGAGGAGGCGCTGAAGGAGAGCCTGAAGCCCAAGCTCTCGGAGGAGCAGCAGAAAGTCATCGACATCCTCCTGGAGGCCCACCACAAGACCTACGACCCCACGTACTCTGACTTCACCAAATTTCGGGTAGGTGAGGGGAGCACCAGCCCCAATTCCCGTGCATGGCACCAGCAACCCCAAATGGTTCCAGCAACCCCAAATGGTTCCAGCAACCCCAGATGGTTCCAGTAACCCCAAGTGGTTCCAGCAACCCCAAATGGTTCCAGCAACCCCAAGCGGTTCCAGTAAACCCAAGCGGTTCCAGCAACCCCAAATGGTTCCAGTAACCCCAAATGGTTCCAGCAACCCCAAGTGGTTCCCACCAACTGCACCCAACTGGTTTCATCCCATGATCTCTCCTTGCCCATTAAAAATCCCGGTGCCAAAATCCCGATGCTGCAGGCGAGCCCCGTTCCTCACGCCCCACTCTCTCTCCTGCAGCCCCCGGTGAGAAGCAGGTCCAGCAGCAGGGTGGCGGCGCGGTCGTCCTCCATGCTCACCCAGGACTTCTCCTCCGAGGACTCCACCGACGCCTTTGGCTCCGACGCCTTCAGCACGTTCCCCGGTACCGCTCTCACCTCCCCGTGGGGGCTCGGGGTGCGCGTGTGCTACGGGGGGTGGAAAGGGAATGGATATTTCGAAGTCTGGCCGAGGGTAAAACGCTTCTTGTACTTCTCCTGGGAAATGTATTTAATTCAAAGAGCCTCCCGGGGGTGTTGCTCACAGCACGGGAAAGGCGTTGAAGGTCCCCCTGCAGCCGTCCCACAGCTGCCGTGCGCCCACGCTGCCCCCCCAGCCCCCGGCAGGACGGACACCGCTCCCTGTCCCCATGTCCCCGTGACACCTCCGTCCTCTGAATTCCCCCCCCAGAGTCCGTGGAGCCCCCGATGTTCTCCAACCTGGTCCTGTCGGAGGAGAACGACGAGAGCTCCTCCATGAACATCGAGTTCTCCCACCTCTCCATGCTGCCCCACTTGGCCGACCTGGTCAGCTACAGCATCCAGAAGGTGATCGGCTTTGCCAAAATGATCCCGGGATTCAGGTGAGGATTTGGTTCCCAGACCCGGTGTCTGCGGTGGTTTTCTGCCCTCAGGGACTCCATCCCACTCATTTTTCCTCTGTCGCACCTCCAGGGCTCTGTCCCCTTCCCAGCTCTGTTCCTATCTTCGTGTTTTCTCTTTTTCCTCCTTCCTGGGGTTGATCCTTTTCTATTCCCAGCCAGATTCACCCCAGCCATGTGAGGAAAATATTTGAGCTCCCAAGAAGGATGCTCAAGGCTGTGTGAGCGGTGCCCCTCCTGGTTTTGGGGTCACCTCCGATCCCCTTTAACTCCAGCCCTGTGAGAATTCAGGCTGGTGCCCGGGTCGCTGGGTGCAGCCCCTCATTAAATACAGCTGCAGAATCCCCCAGAAATTTGGGGTGAGGGAGAAGCAGGGGGGAGAGACGGGGTTACCGCTGAATCCCCCAGAAATTTGGGGTGAGGGGGGAAGCGATGGGGGTGACCGCCGGGTGGTGGCCAGCTCTCAGCTCGCCCCCTCGCTGCCCTGCAGGGACCTGACGGCGGAGGACCAGATCGCCCTGCTGAAATCCAGCGCCATCGAGGTGATCATGCTGCGCTCCAACCAGTCCTTCACCCTGGAGGACATGTCCTGGACCTGCGGCAGCGCTGACTTCAAGTACAAAGTCAGCGATGTCACCCAAGGTGAGGGCCCCGCCGGGCCTGCTGCTTGCTGCAGGCCCCGAGGCGTCACCTGGGGGCCAGCGGGGGGGTAGGATTGCAGATATTGTGGATTTTAAATCTCTGACTGAGTTTGGAAGAGATTTAGGGTGACCCAAGGATGCCGGGATCCTTGGGGCAAGGGCAGAGAGCCCAAAGCAAGGTCCCGAGGAAGCCAGGCAGGGCGCTGGGAGCAGGCACGGGGCTGCTGGGGGGGTGCTCGGGGCCCGTGGTGGGGTTTGGGATGTTCCTGCAGGACGGGGGGTGTCCGGGGGTGGTAAGGGGGCGACACGGCTGTGGGCTGCTCGTCCCTGTGGCTTGCAAAATAACCTGCTCCCCGATCTGCTGCTAAGGAGAAAAGTGTCATCAGGAAGAAAATAGAGTAAAGTAAAGTAAAGTAAAATAAAATAAAGTAAAGTAAAATTGATTTACTAAGAAAATTATTTATTTACTTAAATTTATTTACTAAGAAAATTATTTATTTATTTATTTAATAATAAATAATTTATTTACTGAGTAAAATAAAATAAAGTAAAATAAAGTAAAATAAAATAAAGTAAAATAAAGTAAAATTTATTTACTAAGTAAATAATTTATTTATTTATTTAAGTAAATAAAGTAAATAAAGTACTAAGTAACTAAGTAAATAAATTTATTTAATTATTTACGTAGTAAATATTTATTTACTTAGTAAATAAATAAATTTATAAATAAATTTATAAATAAATTTATTTATTTAATAATAAATAATTTATTTACTGAGTAAAATAAAATAAAGTAAAGTAAAATAAAGTAAAGTAAAGTAAAATAAAGTAAAATAAAATAAAGTAAAATAAAGTAAAGTAAAATAAAGTAAAATTTATTTACTAAGTAACTAATTTATTTATTTATTTATTAATAAATAATTTATTTACTAAGTAAAATAAAATAAAGTAAAATAAAGTAAAATAAAGTAAAATAAACAGCCACATTTGAAGCTGTCTCAGAAGTCCCCGTCCACCCCTCTGCTCCCTTTGCTGAGCTGAAGGAGGAGCAGCCGAGCCCCCCAGCTCGTCCCCCAGCCCCAGGGGGGGCCGGGCTGTGGTCCGAGGGCTGGGTGCTGACGGCTCCTCTCCCCCCAGCCGGCCACAGCATGGACCTGCTGGAGCCACTGGTGAAATTCCAGGTGGGCCTGAAGAAGCTGAACCTTCACGAGGAGGAGCACGTGCTGCTCATGGCCATCTGCATCCTGTCCCCAGGTAGCCTCCACCTCCCCATCCCACCCAAAAAAACCCCAAAAACCCCCCAACCCCCTTCCCCTCCTCACTCTTTTCACCTCCCCCAGACCGCCCCGGCGTGCAGGACACCTCTCTGGTGGAGGCCATCCAGGATCGCCTGTCGGACACCCTGCAGACCTACATCCGCTGCCGGCACCCCCCTCCCGGCAGCCGCCTGCTCTACGCCAAAATGATCCAAAAATTGGCCGACCTGCGCAGCCTCAACGAGGAGCACTCCAAGCAGTACCGCTGCCTCTCCTTCCAGCCCGAGCACAGCATGCAGCTCACCCCGCTGGTGCTCGAGGTTTTCGGCAACGAGATCTCCTGACTCCCCACCCCACCGCCACCACCCTGAAGCCCGGGGGGAGTCCCCAAAATAAAGGGAGAAGTCAGCCCGGCCTCCCCCCGGGGGGGTCGGTTTCACACTACTGCAGCTCCTGCTTTAGGCTCGGCCACGGCTGCAGAGCGGGCACGGACCGAAACCTGCACGTTTTGTCCCCAAACCTTCCGCCGGCGGTTTTCCAGCTGACTTTCTCCCTTTATCTGGATGGTTTTGAGGCCAGGCTGCCTCGAATCGGTTCTTTCTGGCCTGAGAACTTGGGATTTTGGGCAGAAAGCGGGGGTTTTGCACATCCATGGCGCCGGCTCCTGCTCCCCTCCGGGACCCCGGGGACCCCCACGCTCGCCCCCCCTTCCCGAAGGACGATGCCGACGGGGCGGCACACCCCAAATCCCCGCGGGGAAACGCCGTGGTCATGCTAAAAGCACTCCTCCGAGGCAAAACGGGGAGAAAAAAGGAGAAAAAAGCGCATCTGGGAGCAGCCGAGCTGCGTTCCTAACACTACTGCCTGCTGGGGGGAGCGGAGCTGGTGGGGGGGTCTCCTGCAGCCCCCCCCCCCCCCGAGCCCTCATTGTGGGGCTGGGGTCTGCGACCACCCGTGGGCTAACGAGGCATCGCCTTAACGATGGAGGTGGGGGCTTGGGGGGGGCACACTGAGGTTTCCTGTGCACCCATACCGGGACTTCTGAGGCTGCCGGGGGTGCCCTGTCCCCTGCTGTCCCCCCCCCTCCAGAGGTGGCCTTAGGGGAGGGCAGCTCGGGGACCCCGGAGGCCCCAACCCCCCCCCCCCCCACGGCCGCCCCCCTCCACGGGACACCGGGTCCTGGCCCCGGGGACAGCGGTGACACCGGGGTGGCCGTGCACTTTATGGGGGGGGGGGGACACGGACATGACACCAGGTCGGTCGCTGCAGCCACCGCTGCCACCACCACGTGCTGCTCTGTGCAAATAAATATCGCTTGGGAACGGCGCCCGGGCTGGTTTTTGGGGACTGTCTGTCTGTCTGTCCGGCTGTCCCCGTGTCCTTCCGTGTCCCCGTGTCCCCATCACTCCCCTCCCATGTCCCCCATGCTCCGTCCAGCCGTGTCCACGTCCCTGTGCCCCACACTCCCCATGTCCCTTCCGTGTCACCCCCATGTCCCCATGTCTGTTCTCCCCGTGTCCCTGTGTCCATGTCCCTGCACCCCATACTCCTTGTGTCCCCATGTCCCAGTGTCTGTGTCCCCTGGTGTCCCCCCCATGTCCATTCTCCCCATGTCTGTGCTCCCCATGTCCCCATGTCCCAGTGTCAGTGTCCCCCATGTCCCCCCCGTGTCCCCCATGTCCCCCCGTGTCCCCATGTTCATTCTCCCCATGTCCATGGCCCCCATGCTCATGTCCCCCACCATGTCCCCATGTCTGTGTCCCCTCGTGCCCACCTGTGTCCCCATGCCCCATGTCCCCATGTCTGTGTCCTGTGCCCCCCCCATGTCCCTTGGTGTCCCTCCATGTCATACCCATGCCCCCCCCATGTCCCCCAATGTCCTCATGTCCCCCCACGTCCCCCCATGCCCCCCCATGTCCCTATGTCCTCCCCATATCCCCCTATGTCCCCCTATGTGTCCCCCCATGCCCTCTTGTGCCCCCCAATGTCCCCCCTGTGTCCTCCAATGTCCCCCCAATGTCCTCTGGTGTCCCTCTATGCCCCCCCGTGTCCCCCCATGTCCCCCCCATATCCCCCCATGTCCCGTTGTGTCCCCCCATAGCCCCCCACGTCCCCCCCATGTCCCTATGTCCCCCCATGTCACCCCCATATCCTCCCATGTCCCCCTATGTGTCCCCCCATGTCCTCTTGTGACCCCCAATGCCCCCCACATCCCAATGTCCCCCCCATGTCCATATGCCCCCCCATGTCCCCCCATGTCCCCCCAATGTCCCCATGTCCCCCCTATTTGTTCCCCCATGTCCCCTTGTGTCCTCCAATGCCCCCCCCCACACCCCAATGTCCCCCCCATAGCCCCCATATCCGTCCATGTCCCCCTATGTCCCCCCCAATGTCCCCCCTATGTCCCCCCCTCCATCCCCCGCCCCCCCCGTGCTCCGCGCACGCGCAGTAGCAGGCACCAGGATCTTCCCTCCCCCCCCCCCCCCCCCCCCTTCCCATTTGACGCATGCGCAGTGCGGCAGGGCGGGGGCACTCGGGGGCGCGGCTCAGCGCATGCGCAGAGCACCAGGGCGTTGCTAAGGGGCGGGGGCGTGCCCGCGGAGGCGAGCCCGGCGCATGCGCATTTCAAAAGGGCGTGGAGCGGGTGGGCGGGGCTCACGTGGGCGGGGTGAGTGCGCGTGCGCAGCCAGCGAGGCGGTGCCACGCGTGCGCAGTCAGAGCGGCGAAGCGCCGCGCATGCGCAGTGATGCGCCGCGCCGCGCGGGCCCTTCTTGTCATGGCCGCCGCCGGTACCGGGAGCGGGGCCGGGCCCAAGCGGCCTCGGCCCGGCCCCGCTCCGCGCATCGGCACCCACGACGGCACCTTCCACTGCGACGAGGTGCTGGCGTGCTGCCTGCTGCGCCTGCTGCCCCCGTACCGGGTACGGCCCGGACCGGCCCCCCCCCGAGGGAGCCGAGGCCGCCGTTAGGGGCCCGGTCCCTGTGGAGGCCGCGCTGGGGTTTCCCGAGGAGCCCCGCAGGGGCCGTGGGGACACCCGGGGGCCGCCCTCGGGGTCTGTGGGGCCGCCCTGGGGGCTCCCAGCCCCTCCCTTGGTGTCCTGGGGGCCTCCCCGGGGTCCCCTCGGGGTCCTCGGGACCTCCTGGGGGTCTCCCCGGGGGTCTCCACCCCCCCCCTTCGTGTCCTTGGGGCCACCCCGGGGCTCCCGGTGTCCCCTCAGTGCCTTTGATCCCACTGGGAGGCCACCCTGGGGTCCCCCACCCCCTCTCAGTGTCCTTGGGACCACCCAGGGGCCACCCTGGGGTCCCCTGTCCCCCCCTCGGTGTCTTTGGGACCACCCTGGGGTCCCTCAGCCCCCCCTCCTTGGTGTCCTGGGGGCCTCCCTGGGGTCCCCTGCTGCCCCTTGGTGTCCTTGGTTCTACCTGGGGCAAGCCTTGGGGTCTTTTGTCCCCACTCAGTTTCCTTGGGGCCATCCTGGGCTCCCCCATCCCACCTCAGTGGCCATGGTCCCACCTGGGGGCCACCCTGGGGTCCCCAGTGTTCCCTTGGGGTCTCTGGGCTCACCAGGGGCTGCGTTCAGGGTCTCTGATCTCACCTGGCAGCCCCCTGGGGTCCCCATTCCCCATTCAGGTCCTTGGTCCCACCCTGGGGTCCCCCCTCCACATCCTTGGTCCCACCCTGGGGTCCCCCCTCCTCCCGTAGGGTCCCCAGATCCACCCGGGGGCTGCAGTCGGGGTCTTTGATCTCACCTGGCGGCCACCCTGAGGTCCCCACCCTCCCAAAATCCCCCTCTAAGCCCCCCCCAACCTCACCCCGTGCCCCCACAGGACGCGGAGGTGGTGCGCACCCGCGACCCCGAGCGCCTGGCCGAGTGTGACGTGGTGGTGGACGTGGGGGGCGAATACGACCCCGAGCGGCACCGCTACGACCACCACCAGAGGTGAGACCCCCCCCACAACCCCAGGCTCCCCGCTTAGGGTCTGGGGGGGCTCTTTGGGGCTGACCCTATTTCCCTGGCAGGTCTTTTGCCCTGTCCATGCACAGCCTCCAGCCCAGCAAGCCTTGGACCACAAAGCTGAGCAGCGCCGGGCTGATTTACCACCATTTCGGCGCCCAAATCCTCGCCAACCTCCTGGGGCAACCAGAGGACGGCCCCGTGGTGACGGCGCTCTACGATAAAGTACGGGGTGGGGAGCTCCCCCCATCATCTTTTCATGGGGTGACCCCATAAACATTGGGGTCGCTTCCTCCCAGCGCCCGCTGCTCGCTCCAGGCGGGGCTGAACCTCCCCCCCCTGTGCCCCCTTCCCATTTTTTTTATTTTTATTTTTATTTTTTGGCCCCAGCTCTACGAGAACTTCGTGGAGGAGATCGACGCCGTGGACAACGGGGTGGCGCAGACGGACGGGGAGCCCCGCTACGCCCTCACCACCCACCTCAGCGCCCGCGTGGGCCGCCTCAACCCCCGCTGGAACGACCCCGAGCAGGACACCGAGGTGGGGACTGGAGGGGGGGACACACGAGGGGGTGGGGTGGGGGCCACGGGGAGGAATTCCTCGGGGCTGACCCCCCCCTCTCTGCGTCCCCAGGAGGGGTTCAAGCGGGCGTTGGAGCTGGTGGGGGGCGAATTCCTGGACAGGTTGGATTATTACCACCGGGCCTGGCTGCCCGCGCGGACGCTCGTGGAGGAGGCCATCCGGCGGCGCTTTGAGGTGCTCCCGGGGATGGTTTTTGGGGGGTTTGGGGGTTTAGGGGGGGGACAGAACAGTGGGGCTGAACCCTGGGGTTGTGAGGGGCCACCTGCTCTCGCTGTGAGCCTCCCCGCGCAGCCCCGTAGCCCTGGGGCATGGCCCTGCAGCCCCTGCACCCCAAATCCCTGTGCCCCCTATCCCTGCACCCCATATCCCTGCGCCCCACATCCTTGCACCCCCTGCACCCCAAATCCCTGCACCTCGTCTCCCTGTGCCCCATATCCTTGTACCCCATATCCCTGTGTCCCCTGTGCCCCATATACCTTTGCCCTCTGCACCTCAAGTCCCTGCACCCCATATCCCTGTGTCCCGTACCCCAAATCCCTGTACCCCTGCACCCCACATTCCTGCACCCCAAATCCCTGTACCTTGTGTCCCTGCACCCCGTGTCCCTGCACCCCATATCCCTGTGCCCCCTATCCCTGTGCCCCCTGCACCCCATTTCCACCCACATCACCCCCTGCACCCCAAAACGTGCTCTCACCCACCCCATACACCCTCATATCCCCAACCACACCCCTTCCCGTGCCCCCCACCTCCCCCCTCTATGCTTTTACCCCCCCACAACAGCACCGGGACCCATCGGGGGGCAGGGGGGGGGCTCTTCCCTCTAGCTTTTAGGGAGAGAATCCGAACCCGCAGCAGCACCGGGGCTGCGTGGGCACCCCCCCAGCTTCCAGGGCCCCGTCACACCGTGTCCCCCCCACAGGTGGACGCCAGCGGGGCGGTGCTGGAGCTCCCGCAGGGGGGCTGCCCGTGGAAGGAGCACCTTTTTAGCCTGGAAAAGGAGCTGGAGCTGCCCACCCCCCTACAACTGGTGCTGTTCCCCGACCGCAGCGGGCAGTGGCGGGTGCAGAGCGTCCCGGTGGGGCCAAACACCTTCCAGAGCCGGTGAGCCCCGCACCCTAAACACCCCCCACCAAGCTGGGGTGGGATTTCACCTTCTTATTCCCCTTTTTTTATTGTTTTGTTTTTTTTTTTTTTGCAGCCTTCCCCTCCCGGAGCAGTGGCGGGGGGTCCGTGAGGAGGAGCTGTCGCAGCTCGCCGCCATCCCCGGCTGCGTTTTCGTGCACGCCAGCGGCTTCATCGGCGGCAACCGCACGCGGGATGGGGCCCTGCAGATGGCCCGCAGGACGCTGGAGCTGAGGCACGAGGCGGGAGAGCAAAGCAAATGAGGTCCCCGGCCGGGGGGCACCCCCAAAAATCCCCCCCGGGACAGAGCGGTCGCAGCTGGACACTGAGGCAGTGGCACTGGGGTTTTACTGGTCCCAGTTGCGGCGTGGGACTGGTGCCAGCGCAGAAAACTGACTGAGAGGGGTTTAGGAGCCGGTGCTGGGAAGCTTGCCCCCGTTCCTGCGATGTACCTGCAGCTTCCCAGCCCTGACACCAGTAAAAACCAGTGAGGTCCCAGCACGGTTCCCACCCTGGCAGCTGGGGGTCGTTCGTGGGCACCCCAGGGAGCAGGGGGGGTGCAGCGGGGCCGGGAATCGGGGCAGAGAAGTGGGTGAAGGCATCAAACCCCCCCCTCGTGTCCCCCCTGTCCCATCTGGAGCTGGGAGAGGAGCCCGGGCGTCAGCAGCCAGCTGTCCTGGGGGAGGACACGGAGCCCCCCCCTCGCTCCCAGCACGGCTCGGGGACGATGCGGGCGGCCTGGCTGCTCCTGCTGGCCCTGGGGCTGCCCTGCTGCCCCCGCTGCCCCATGGGGGGGCCCCGGGGGTTGCCCCCCTCCAACGGCCACAACGAGACGGCCACGGGGAGCCGGCGGCCGCGGGCCCCGGACGCGGGGGTGTTGGTGGCCGTGGGGGGGTGGCTCGGTGCCCTCCTCGCCTGCGTGGGCCGCTACGTGCGCAGGAGCCGCGCCGAGACCCGGCTGCACCTCCAGTACCTGCGGGCGCTGCCCTGCCAGCGGCCAAACCCCGAGGAAGAGGAGGATGAAGAGGAAGAAGAGCTCAGCACCATCCTCTGACGCACCATGAGCAGGAGGAGGCGGCTGAAAATTGGGGAGCCCCCCCCCAGGGGTGAAGCACCCCTCCCCCGGAGCTGTCCCAGCAGCCGGAGCGGGTTCGTACCCCATTTTTTTACCCCTGGCTGGGAGCTGGCTGCTGCCCTCCTGCCCCCAGGTGGAGGGGATTTTTTTTGGGGGGGAGGGTCCTTGCCCCATTTTGGGGGTCCTGGGGGGGTGTTGTAGAGCTGGGGGGGGAGCCAAAGCCCTCCCCATCATGTCTCCCCCCACCATAGGGTGATTACAGTGTAATCCCAGGGATTAACTATGTGTAATCCCAGGCTTTAACCCCGCTGCTAATCCCTGCTCGGGGCCCATCTGCTTCCCAAAAAAAGCCTCAGCGCTGGCCGGGCTCACGTGGGCCAGCACGAGCCCCCAGGCCGGGGCTCCAGCACCATCCAACCCCCCCTCACAGCCCCCAGGAGCCAAAATTTGGGGTTTCACACCCTCGAGGTGGTTCCTACACCCTCCAGCTGAAGCCCAAAAGCTGCGTTTTTGGCCCAGGATGCCCCAGCCCTCACAGCAGCCCTTATTTGACCCCAAAGCAGAGCCCAGACCCCCCCCAGAAGCCTTGCCCTCCCCCATACAGCACCGAGAGCACCCAAACCCTGCAGCAGGTGCCTCCAACCTGCTTTAATTATTAATTAAGGCAGTGGCTGGCCTGGTTCAGCCTCACCCCTGGCACCACAGAGCACCGCCAGAGCCCCAAAACCAGCCCCAGCCCTGCACAGTTTTGGGAACTCGCTCCCCGCAGCACTTCCAAGGCCAACCCAGGGCTGCTTTTGTGCCAGGAACAAGCGAGGTGCAGAAAAGGCAAAGGGGAGGAAAAATCACCTTTAATCTGAGCAGCACCGACCCCCAGCTGCCCCCCCCAGCACGTGGGGGCAGGAACCCGCAGCAGATGCCACCAAAAATCCCTCGGATGCCACCAGAAGCCCCTCGAGCCCCGTTGTTGTGTCCCAGGAGGAAGAGGAGCAGCCAAGCCCGGGGAGGTGACAGAGGGAGCGCCCCAGCCCCGTTTTTTGGGGAAGGGGAGCCCCTGGGGGGGCTCAGAGCTCCGAGAAGAGGGGCTGCTCCCGCACGCTGCCGCTGGGCATGGCCACCACGGGGCTGCGGCCGGGGCTGGCGCAGGGCACGTGGGCGCTGACGAAGAAGAAGGGGACGTGGCTGATCTTCCCCGTGGACCAGCACTGCAGGAGACACGAGCAGAGGTCAGCACCCCCCTCCCAAACCCCCCCGGGAGGAGCAGGATGAGTCCCAGAGCTCCCCAAAAACCCAGACGAAGGCGCTTTCCTCGCCCTCTGCCCACCCAGGGACACTTTGGGGACGCTTTGGGGATGTTTTTAACCCCGTGCTGCAGCCCCTGCGTTATTCACAGAGGTGCAGGAGGTGCTGGCAACGCGGACCCCCACTCACCACGGTCAGGAGGGCGCCCTGCTGGAAGCAGGGGTGGAAGGCGATGAGCTGGGGCTGCGCGTCCTGCTCCCCCCGCAGGAATCCGCTGCCAGGGGAGGGAAAGCCACGGTCAGCACCCCCACAGGGCCCCAAATAAAGGGTTTGGGGGGTCATATGGCCAAAATGGGGGCAATATGACCGATTCTGGGGGAAAACAACGCTGCCTGGAGGAGCAGTGAAGGACGGCAGTGCCTTCTCCCTCCTCCCCACCACGTCCCACGGGTGGGCAGCCCCAAGGCAGCCCCCAGCGCGCTACGCACCAGGGCAGGAGCTCGAACACGGGGCTGTTGCGGGTACGAAACACGGCCACCACCGTCTGGCTGCCGGGGGAGTCGGGATTCCCTGCGGGAGGAGAGAGAAGCGGCTGTGAGGCTGCCCCCGGGGGTCCCAGGGGCACGGTGGGGGCAGCAAAACCGGGCTGGGGGCAGCAAAATTGGCCCTCAGGCAGGTAAAGCTGGGGGAGAAGGGGTTGGGCAGCAGCTGAGGCAGCTCCTTTAGGAACACCCCAACCTTCAGGGCATGATGTGAGTGTCCCATGCCCCGACCCCAGTGATTATTTTCTATTTTTCTACCCCTACGGGCGCAGAGGACGGTGAGGAGCCAGCTGCAGGAGTCCTGGGACCCTCCAAGGTTTTCCCCTTGTATTTTTTTCCCCCACCCAGCTTGAAGCCGGGCAAAATAAAAGCGGCTGAGCTCAGCCCCCGTGGTTCTGATGCGGGGAGGGAGGCCGAGGCGAGCGGCAGCGTCCCCAGCGCCGTGTTTTCGGTGCTCCCTCAAAGGGCTGCTTTGTGTCGGGGCGCTGCTCATCCCGGCTGCAGCCAGGAGGCCCTGAATGGCTCGATTATCCCCGGGGCTGCTCCTCTGGCACAGCCAAGAGGCTCGAGGAGCAGTGCGGGCACCGCGGGAACACCGAGAGCTCGGGCAGGGCTGGCACAGGGCACGGAGCTCCCTCGCCAAGGGACTCAGGGGAGCAAAGTCCCGGTGGGGAAGGAAGGGGAGGGGGCGGGCGCTGCCTTGCTGGCCCCTCACCCCTCTGGGGTTCGCTCCCAGCCCGCTGCAGTGAGGATTTTGGGGTGAAATCAGCGAGGAACAGCCCACGTGGGGGCAGCGCCTCGTGCTTACCTCTGATGATCACCGCCAGCCGCTCGCCGGTGGGGTCCCACACCATGGAGTGCACCTCTCCCCCGATCCTGGAACCCGCAGGAGCACGGTGAGCCCCCCGCCAACGCCCCCCAAACTGGGGGCTGCTGGAAAAAGGGGCACAAGCCCCCTCCGCCCCCAACCCCAAGCATTACAGGCAGGGGCAGACCCACCTCTCCTCCCCGTAGAGCGTCTCGAAGGTGGTCTCCGACAGGTCTGCCACGATGGAAGCTGTTTTGGAGCCCCCCACTTGTCCCTGCATCTCCCCTGAAAGAGGGAAAAATTGGGAAAAGGGGGAAAAATTGGCACCGAGCTGCGTTTTGAGAGCCCCCAGGAACCTGTGGAAAAAATCCCCACCCTTCCCCGCGTGTCCTGGCTGTGCGCCCAGCAGGTTGGAGCCTCACCAAAATGGTTTTGTGGCCAACCCCAGCCAGGGCCGACAGCAAGGCAGCGCCTCGGGGACCTCGGGGACTCACCCCTGTACTCGGAGAAGGACAAGGAGTAGATGACGGACTCGCCCAGCACCGTGAAGAGCAGCCGGCTGCCGTCGGGACTCCAGCACCCCGTCTGCAGGGCACAGAGGGGACGTCAGCGCCCGCCACCACAGCTGGGGAGCTTCTGGCTCACAGGGGGGATGAAATGCCCGCTGGTGGCACCGTCCTACCTGGCAGCGCCCTTTAATCGTGGGCCACCTCTCGCACGTCCACATCTGAGCCTCCCAGACTCTGGAGGAGAAGCAGGCCGACGTGAGCAGGACAAATTTTGGGTGTCTGCCCCGCTTTTGCCTCCCTGAGAGGAGCCCGAGAGGCCAGACCCAGCTAAGCACCTATTTCCCCCCCTCGGCATGGGTCACAGGGGGAAGGGGGGCAGCTAGGAGACAAACAAAGCCCTTTATTTAGGGGAAATGAGGATGTTAAAGAGGGCTGAGAGAAAACAGCTCCGGGGGGGGGCAGCAGCAGGACCAGGAGCTCACCTGAACACCGCCGAGGGGGTGGCCGCCAGCACCTTGCTGCCATCCGGCGACCAAGCCAAGAAGGTGACCCCGCCGCCCCCAAACCACTGCAGCTGGACGCAGTTCTCCGTGGACACGTCCCACACCTGGAGGGGGGCACAATGGGGCTGGGGGGGTCACTGGACACAGCGCAGCCCCACAGCCACAGGGACGGCTCCTGACATCGGCCAAATGGGCCAAAATGGGACGCTGAAAGGTTCGGGAATGGATCGGGGAGCGAGGTGTGATGCTTTCAGGGCTGAGTGCCCCAAATTCAGGACCTAAACCACCCCCAGAGGAAAACTGAGTTCAAATTCAGGGCCTAAACTTCCCTCTGAGGAAACCCAACTTCAAATACGGGACCTAAACCACTCTCTGAGGAAATCCCGTCTGTCCCCAGTGGACGCAGAGCCTCCAAGGTGGCCCAGCAGTGGGCTGACAGCTCCAGACCCCCACCAAATGAAGCCCCCCTAACCAAACGAAGCCCCCCAACCAAACAAAGCCTCTCGCCCCCCCCAAAAAGAAGCCCCCCAGCTCACCAGCATGGCCGTGTCCACCGGCGAGGCCGAGAGCAGCAGCTCCCCGCTGGGAGCCCAGGCCAGGCTGGTGACGGGGCTGTGCCCGGGGTAGGAGAGCACCTGGGCGCAGCCGGACGAGGGCCTGGAGGGAAGGAGAGGAAAATAAAGCCAGCTGCTGGCACCAGACCCCAAAACCTGGCATCCCGGCGCCGTGTTCTCCCCGGGTTTAACCCCGAGCCAACCAAAAAGGGGTCGGCAGCAGCCCCCCAGGGGGGGGCTGGCACCTGGTGGAGAGGGAGGTGGGGTCCAGGTGCCAGACCAGGACGCAGCTCTGGCAGGCGACGGCGAGGATGGAGGCGCACAGCGGCTTCCAGGCCACGGCGGCCACGTTCCTCTGCAGGCGGTGCTTCAGCGAGGGGATGGTGGCGCTGAGGAAGAGGAGGAGAGCGTGATGAAGGGCAAAAAGAGGGAGTGGAGCGCTCACCCCGCCCGGGGGGCAGCTCCCAGGGTCCTCTCTCCAGCTCTGCCCGCGGCGGGGTGCCTAAAGACCTAGGGTGAGGGTGCCCCGCTGTGACCTGCTTCTTTTTGGGGTGGGATGGGGGGGACAGAGGGGACCCCAGCCAGGTGACACCGGTGTGGTGAGCCAGAGCACACCTCAGGTGGTTCAGCGCCCAGCCCCGTGCTCCCCACAGCCCGGTCCCGGGGTGAGCTCTGGCACTTGCGGGTTTGAAATCCCAGCTGGGGGACAGCGGCTCAGCGGGGAGGCGCTGGGGGGGCCGCAGGACGAGGCGGCGGAGTCGTCTCGTCAGGAGGGCTTTACACGCCTGCCGAGACGCGCCGGGGGAGCGGGGAGACCTGGAGGAGAAAGGAGACTGCAGGGCACCCGGGAGGAAAAAAAAAAAAAAACAGAATTTGAGGCTGGAGATGCTGGGAGGTGCCCTAGGGGGGCTCCTGCGAGCTCTCGGGATGGGTGGCACCGATGGGAGCGGAGCCAGAGCGCACGGGGACGGGGATGGGGACGCTGGAGGAGTCCTGGGAGCGTGCTGGAGGCGTTTTTGGGTGGGTGGCTCCTCACCTGCTGGAGTTGTACACCCGGATGGAGTCATCCAGAAGCGCCACCGCGAACTTGCTGGTGTGGGGGTGCCAGGCGAAGGCGCGCACGGTGCAGCCGGCCCTGCGGGGACGGGGACGGGGAGCGGTGACACCCCGGGGCCACCAAAGGCAGCTCCCAAAAAGTCCCCACTGAAATACACCCAAATCTTCCCTCCCGCCGCTCGGTGGGGTCGTTTTCTCTGCTAAATTCCCTGCAAAATTTTTTTCTCTGCTGAATTCGCGCCACCCAGCACTCACCAGTCAACAGCCTGGGAGAAGGCAGCGATCATGTCTTCGCTGGTCAGCTTCAGGAAGGGGCAGACGGGGAGAAAAATTAGCCTGGAGCTGGCAGCAAAACCCTTCCCTCCCCCCCCAGCTCCACGTCGCTCCCCCCGTGTGGGGTTTGCTGCCCCAACGCCCCTTTGGCACCCGTTGCTCTCCCTTTATGGGAGGAAACGCGCGGTGTTTTCAGCTGCCCACCAGCACTTTGAACATTTTGCTGTGTTTTCAGCCAAAAACCCGCCCCCCAAAGTAGCCCCTGGAGCAGGGACATTGCACCCCGTTATCCCCGGTTCCCCCCCAAAAAAAAAACTCACCGAGAGGTGGGGGAAGAGGGAGCCGTGCAGGGAGGAGAGCCAGCGGCACACGGCCAGAGCGGAGCTCGAGCCCGTCTTCAGCCACTGCAGACCTGCGGGGGGCACGGGCACGATGGGACGGCCACCGGGGGAGCGAAGGGGGGGGCCTGGAGAGCCTCCAGAGATGCCCCAACCCCCGCCAGCTGCCCCCACTCACCCTCCTCTTCCTCGGCACTGGCGATCTCCTTGAGCAGCCCGCACAGCCCCGCGTCCCGCCTGCGGGGGAGAGCCGGGTGAGCCCCCCCCAAACACGGCTGTGGGGACCCGTCCCCGTCCCAAACCTGCTCCCGGGTCACCTCCCCGTGCCCGCTGCGAGGCCCTGAGCCCCCCAGGACCCCCCACAGCTGCTCCGAGCTCCCTTTTACACCTCCAAACCCCAATTTAGCGAGCTGGGGGTTCACCCCCTGGCACGGAAAAACCCCAAAGCTGGGCACATCTCCAAGAAAAGAGCCTCCAGGTGACATTTAACGGGGCTGGGGGCAGCCACCGGGTGAAACATCATCATGGGGCCGTACCCCCGGGGCCGTGACCCCCCCCGGTGATGCTGGCACTCACCAGGCGTTGATGCAGCGCTTCCACAGAGCCTCTCGGTGGTGGATGAAGGCCGGCCGGGTGCCGTGCTCCAGCCGGCCCGGTGCTTTCAGGCCGTCCTTGGGCAGGCTGAGGGCGGGCAGCCCCGCCAGCTGCGGGCACAGACCGGGCACCGTGAGCAGGGCACGGGGCATGGGGAACGGGGAAGGGGGGGGCACCGGTAAGCCCAGCCCGGGGGGGTCTCACCTGGCTCTGGAAGGCGAGCGGCAGCGGCTCGCACAGGCGGCCGCACACCAGGACGTTGTTGAGCTCGTACAGGGTGGCCGAGCCCGGGGGTGGCGGAGGGGGGAAGAGCCCCAGGGAGCACATCCTGAGCCGGGCCTGCGGGGAGAGGAGACACCGGTCCCGGTCATGGTCACGGTGCCGGTACCGGTCATGGTCATGGTCCTGGTACTGGGTCCCCGGTGCCGGTCCCAGTCCTGATCCCGGTCATGGTCATGGTCCTGGGTCCCCGGTACCGGGTCCCCAGCCCTGCCCCGGTGCCGGTCCTGTCCCTGTCCCGGCCCCTTCTCCCATCCCGGTCCCGGTTCCCAGCCCTGCCCCTGCCCCATCCTCAGTCTCCGGTCCCCGATCCCGGTCCCAGTCCCCAGTCCTATTCCCGGTCCCACTCCCGCCCCTTTCGCGGTGCCGGTGTCCTGACCCCGGTCCCGGACCCGGTCCTGCCCCTACCCCAGCCCCTGTCCCAGCCCTTTCCCGGTCCCGGCCCCGGTCCCAGGCCCGGTCCCCGGTCCCTTCCCCTTCCCCACTCCTGGTCCCGGTCCCGGTCCCGGTCCCCGGTTCCCGGCCCCATTCCTGGTCCCTTCCACGGTGCCGGTGTCCCGGTCCCGGCCCCGGCCCCGGTCCCGGTCCCGGTCCTACCCCTACCCCGGACCTGGCCCCAGCCCTTTCCCGGTCCCGGTCCCGGTCCCTTCCCCAGTCCCCGGCCCTGCCTTGGTTCCGAGCTCGACCCCCGGGTCCGGGTCCGGGTCCGGGTCCCGGTCCCGGTCCCGTCCCTGTCCCCGTCCCCGGTGCCAGCCCTACCGGTTCCCGTTCCCGTTCCCGTTCCCGTTCCCGCCGCCGGGAGGCCCAAACGGCTCCGCGCGCTCTCCCCGGTGGGGGTGGGGGGGGCCTTAAAGCGGCCGCGGCTCCTGGCTAATTCCCGGAGCACGGCGGGGCCGGCGCCCCCCTCCCACCGGGCTCCTCTCCCGGTTGTTTTCTCCCCTCAGCCGAGTTCTGTGCGGGATGCTCGGGGCACCCCGAGCCGCAACGGGAGATGAGAAATTTTGGGGGGGGTCCACCACGTAGAGCATTGCCCCTTTAAGGGAGGCGGTGCGCCGCCGCGGGGGCGGGAAAGCGGCACGTGGGGGCCGGCGGCGCGCCCCCTGCACGTGGGGGACTGCGCGGGACCCCCAATCCGGGGGTGTCCTGGGGGAACCGGGTCCCATGGGTGCCTGTAGGGGAACAGCCCCGTATTGGGGTCCCCTGGGTGCCCAGGTCCCATGGGTGCCCTTATGGGAACACCCCCCCACTGCAGTCCCAGGGGTGTCCGTATGGGAACACCCCCCCTTATTGGGGTCCCAGGGGTGCCCCTATGGGAATATCCCCTATTGGGGTCCCACAGGTGCCCACGTCCTGTGGGTGCTGTATGGGAATTAGCCCTATTGGGGTCCCAGGAGTGCCCAGGTCCCATGGGTGTCCGTATGGAAACGCTCCCCTATTGGGGTGCCCAGGTCCCGTGGGTGCCCGTATGGGAATTAGCCCTATTGGGGTCCCAGGGGTGCCCATGTCCAGTGGGTTCCCATGAGGGAACATCCCCTATTGGGGTCTCAGAGGTTCCCATATGGGAACACCCCCTATTGGGGTTCCTATATGGGAATATCCCCTACTGGGATCCCAGGGGTGCCCAAGTCCGATCAGTTCCCATATGGGAACACCCCCTATTGAGGTCCCAGGGGTTTCTATATGGGAACACCCCCTACTGGGGTCCCAGGGGTGCCGTGCCCACCCCGCTCCCCCCCCAGCCCAGCCCCTCGGGCTTGGAGCGCTCCCAGCTCCTCTTCGTGGGCTCTCATTTTCCTTCCCTCCCGTTTTCGGCTCGCTTTTATTATATTTATCTCTGTGTTTGCCTTAGCGGCCGCAGAAGTTATTTTAATTTTTTCAGGATATTAAATAAACGCTCTGGCGGAGGGGGCTGCGGCGGGAGGCCCTGCATTCCTCACCCGTTACGGAGCGAGCGGGGTTTGATAGGAGACAACGATTTGGACGGCGCCGATCGCTGGAAGACATCAGAGCCACCGCAGGGCTGGCGTGGCCTCGCGGCTTCCCTTCGCTGGGACGCGGCGGTTGGAGCCGAAACCCCCCCCCCCAAAAAAAAAAAATCCCCCCCCCAACACACCCCGGGGGTTTGGGAAACCTCGCGCCGCCGTGGGGGGCTCTGGGGGGCCGTCAGAGCGGGGCGAGGGTGGGTTTGGGCTCCCCGTGGTTTGGGGAGGCTCCGGTCGGGGTTTGGCTCGGGGACGCGGCCGGATGCGCTCGGCGCCCGTTGGCACCGGCCCACCCACAGCGAGCAGCGTTTTGGGGGGAAAAAACCCCTAAAAAAGCCAACTTGTGTCTAGCAGGGGATCAGTGCTGGGGGGTCCTCGTGCAAGCTGGCACCCGCCACCCCAAATTCAAGGCCCGAGGAGGTGGCAGAGCCAGCTTGGGGACAGCGTTGTCACCCACCGTGGCACCGCGTCACCCTGGCTGGGGACGTCCCCGTGCCTCAGTTTCCCCCCAGCACCCCTGGGTCCCTGCCAGGCGCGGTGACTCAGCGCGCGGTGGCACACGTGGCCGGGGGTGGTGGCACCGGGGGCCCCGCCACGCTGGCACGGGGACCCGCCGCCGGCCCCGTGGGCGCTGGGATGGGAGGCGGCCGAGCACGAGGCCGCTTCCGCCTTCCTCTGCCTTTTTCCGTGGCTTTTTTGGGTTTTGTAGAAAAAAATCAAAAATAAAAATACACAAAAAAAGCCCCAAAATGGGGCTCGGTGCTTCAAAGCCCTGGCAGGAACCCAAAGCGCTGGGGTTGCTCAGTGAAGGGGGGGGCGTGGGGGCGCTGCCAGCCCGCGGTGCCCAAAATCTGGGGGTCTTCGGCCCCACACCGTCACCGCGTGTCCCCCACCGGCCGTGGGGAAACTGAGGCACGGGGCGCCCCACACGTGTGGGGCTGCGTGTTCCCATGCATGGATGTCCCCGGGGCTGTTGGACACGGGGCTGGGGGGGGGGCACACGTGTGTGGGATGTGCCCGCGTGGTCACTGCAGGTGGGGGACCCCAAAAGGGATTTGGGGTGTGTGGGTGGTCCCTGAGCTTGGGGACATGGGGATGCAGGGACATGGGGACGGGGACATCGGGCTATGGGGACATGGGGCTATTGGGATAAAGGGACACGGGGACAGGGGGACATCGGGCTATGGGGATGAAGGGACATGGGGCAATAGGGACACGGGGTCACAGGGCTATGGGGATGTGGGACCACAGGGTGCTGGGAATGGGGACATGGGGACACCGGGACCCGGGGCCACGGGGCGATGGGGACACAGAGGGACGAGAGCACAGTGACACGGGGCCACCAGGACGCAGGGATGGGGGACAAGGGGACACAACGGGATTGTCCCCAGCACTGCTCACGCTGCGGTGACCCCGAGCAGGGACATCCCCGGGGGGCTGGGGGCACTTTGTGGGGTTGGGTCCCCCCCGCAGCCACATCCCCGCGTGCCTCAGTTTCCCCCCAGGGAAGGGACGGGGGCACCACGCTGCCGTTGCTCCTGGTTGATCCCTTTATTGCTTTTATTTTTTAATTTTTTTTTTTGGGGGGGGGGTAGCCAGCTAATGAGGGGGGGGGGTACATCAGCGCCTAACGACCTGGGCGTGCTAACGAGGCGGAGGAGAAGGGGCAAACCCTGTCCCTGAGCTCTGTGCGGGGCCAAGACAGCCGGCGAGGCGAGAAAAGGGGAGGGGGGGGGCAGAGAAAAAGGGGGCGCTCACCCCAAAAATCCCCCCCCGGCGCTCCCCCCGGCGCTCGGCGAGCCCCCGCCCTGCGCCCCTCGCCATAATTTAAGACATAAATTATAATTTATAACGGGGAGCGGCTGCTGGCCCCGGGGGGTGTAGGCTTGGCGGGGGTGGCGGGGTGGACCCCGAAATAAATATCCCCGGCGAGGAGGAAGAGGAAGGAGGAGGAAGAGGGGAAAAAAGAGGATGAGGAGGAGGAGGAGGAGGAGGAGGAAGGCGCGGGGCTCAGATCTCCAGCAAGCTGCCGGCCTCGGGGCTGCCGGCGTCCTTGTCCGGCGAGGCGGCGGCGGGGCGGCGAGGGGAAGCGGGGGGCTGCTGTTCGGCGACCCCCCCGGGGGTTTTGGGGGGTCCGGCTTCGGCGTGGGTCTTCTGGTGTTTGCTGAGGTGGTCGGAGCGGGTGAAGCGCTTGCTGCAGAGCAGGCAGGTGAACTTCTTCTCCCGCGTGTGGGTGCGCACGTGGCGCTCCAGCTCGTCGGAGCGGGTGAAGCGCTTGCCGCAGAAGAGCCAGTTGCAGACGAAGGGGCGCTCGCCCGTGTGCCAGCGCAGGTGGGCTTTGAGGTGCGAGGCTTTGCCGTACACCTTGCCGCAGCCCGGGATGTGGCAGCTGTGCACCGGTTTCTTCCTCAGCCCCCCCGCGCCGCCGCCGCCCCCCGCCGCCCCCCAACCTCTCCAACTCCTGGCAGTTGGGGCAGTCGCAAGCCGCTCGCCCTCCCGTCCCCGGAGAGCCCCCGCCTCGAGGCCCTTTGCCCCCCGCGTCCCCCAAGCCGCTTTTGGGGAGTGGGGTGGCGCCGGGACCCCCGGCGTAAGGCGGGGGGTTGAGAGCCCCGAAATCGGAGCCGTAAGCGGGTAGGGGGGGGCTGAGAGCCGGCTGGCCCTGCAGGGACCCCTGCAGCCCCTCGGCACCCGCCGGCCCCCCAGCCAGCCGCCGTTGGGGTGCACGTCCCACCAAGCCGGGGCCGCCGGCCCCGAGCCCCCCGGTAGCCCCCCACCGATGCCGCCCTTGTACCAGGAGCCGTAGGGGTGCGGCATCTCCAGGGAGGGGTAGACCCCCGGCAAGCAGTCGCCCGATGGGTGCCCCTTGGTGGCCACCACCACCGGGGCACCCAACACCTCCTGGGTGCCGGTGGGCGCGGGGAAGGGGTGCCCGAAGGGGCCGTAATCGGGGCCGTAAGGACCGGGCGATGCCTGGGGGCTGGCGGAGGGCGAGAGCAGCCCCGGGCCGCTGGGGAAGGCGGCGGTGTAGGAGTCGCCCATGGTGGGGGGCACCCAAGGGTGCTGGCGGAGGGGGCGGCCGTCAGCGAGGGCACGGGGCCATGGTGGTCTGCGGGAAGAGGGGAAAAAAAGGGGGTTAGGAGAGAGGGGAAGGGGGTGATGGGGGGGGGGGTGGTGATGGGGGGCACCCAGTGTGATGGGGCACCCAGCACCCAATGCAATGGGGCACCCAGTATGATGGGGTACCCAGTATAATGGGGTACCCAGTATGATGGGGCACCCAGTATAATGGGGCACCCAGTATAATGGGGCACCCAGCACCCCGGGGCACCCATCCCCATGGGTATTTTGCACCGTGGGCACCCAGCACCCCCACCCCCAACACCCAGCACCCCAGGGACAACCCCCTGCCCCCCTCCCCGCACCCCCGTGCCTCAGTTTCCCCCCACACCCCCCGTGCTGTGGGCACCCCCCCCCCCAAGCAGGGGCTTCTCCAAGGGCTCGTAGCGAGGCTGTGCCGGCAGCGGGGACCCCGCAGCCCCCTCCCCGCAGCCCCCTCCCCGCCGCCTCCCCCCGCTCCCAATCTCGGCTCCTGCTGCCTTTATGGCCTTTTAATCGAATTACGCTGCGGCCTCCCCCCTCCTCGGCGACTTCCTCTGCTTTTATTCCCTCCCTGAGCTTTCAGCAGCCGGGCTGAGACCGGGCGTCACGAGCTGCCCCCCGCCGCCGGCACCCCCGGCTTTTCCCTCCTTTTCCTTTTTTTATTTTATTTTTTTTTCTTCCCCTCCTTTCACCCACTTTGCGGCTTTTTCAGCTTTTTTTTTTTTTTAATTTCATTTCTTTTCTTTTTTTTTTTTTAATTCCTCCCCCCCCTTTTCCCCTCTTTGCCGTGGTTTTTGCTCCTATTTTTAAGCCGGCCCCGGCCGCGGCCGCAGCGCGCTCCCGGCCCTCCAAGGATAACAAGGGCCAGGCCTGTGCCCCGGGAACGCTGCCCTGCCGCGAGAGCCGAGGTAATTAAAACCAGGGCGAGCGTCTAACGGAGGCACGCTTAAAATAGTGTAAACCTCCCATAAATCAGCTCCGCTTGCGCCGGGAAATTAGGAGCAGGGCCGGCGCCCCGGGGAGCCGCGGGCTGAGAACGGCGCGAGCTCGGTGCACGAGTGGCCGCTGCCGGGGCCGGTGGCTGAGGTGGCTTCGTGCCCCCCCCCGGGGCTGTGCCATGTCCCCTGCTGGGGACCCCCGTCCCCTGCTATCCCCCCCCCCACAAATATCCAGGAGCAGACCCTGCCGTCGGGGTGGCCCCGGTTCCCCGTCCCTGGTCCCCAGGTTGCGGTTTTTGGTGCCCAATTTCTGGTCCCCGGAGCGTGGTCCCCAGTCCCCCAAATCTGCCCCTGGTCCCCAAGCCCAGGTCCCCAAACCCCCTCCTTGGTCCCCTGGTCCCCAGCTCTCAGTCCCCGGTCCCCAGAGCGCAGCCCCTGTTCCCTGCCCCCAGCCCCTCAGCTCCCGTCCTCGACCCCAGGTCCCCAAATCCCACTCCTGGTCCCCAATTTGTGCTCCCTTGTCCCCAGTCCCATGTCCCCAAACCCCAATCCTAGGTCCCCAAACCCCAATCCTGGGTCCCCAAACCCCAGTCCCATGTCCCCAAACCCCCATCCCATGTCCCCAAACCCCAATCCCATGTCCCCAAACCCCCATCCCTGCTCCCTCGTCCCCATTCCCTGGCTCCTTGTCCCCAACCCCATGTCCCCAGCCCCCAGTCCCTGTCCCCACGGTGCCTTTCCCCCAGCCCCAACCTCAGCGGGTGGCCGGAGACCGGGACCCCCCTTGGCCCCTGCCTCAGTTTCCCCATCCCCGCTGCTCCCAGCTCCTTCCAGCCTACGGCCACCAAACGTGGGGGTCCCCGGGGGGGGGTCCCTGGGGGGGGCACCCCTCACCCGGCTGGGCCCTGGCTCCCCCTGCTCGCACGGTGGAGCTGGAGGGGACAGCTGGTGGCAGAGGTGGCACTTGGCACTGTCCCCTCGCCCCCGCAGCCCTGTCCCCTCCCTGGGGACAGCGGGGACCCCGCTGGGCTGGGGGACACCGAGGTGGGCACAGGGACAGCATGAGGGAGGATCAGGCCCTACAGGGGGGGAAGGGGGACACCGGGTCCCCGTCCCCTGCCGCGTGGGTGTCCCCACGTCCTGGTCCCTGCGGCTCCAAGGGACCGTGG